CTCAGAGATTTTCGATCACAATCGGAGATAACCACAGGACAGGATATCCTGTCGTCCTGGTGCTCTGTCCTGTCCTGCAGGGCAGGACGCAATTTTTATTTTGGTCCTGTACTGCCGCCCGTCAGGACAAGAAACTTACCAGGACAGGCCAGGGCAGGGCGAAAGATCTCGTCCTGTGCACGTCTCTGATACACACATATAAGACGACACGAAATAATGGCTTGATACACGTAGTAATTATGCAAAGTCATTATTAAAATGATTCCCCGAAAACAAGCAGCGATTTCTGAGAACTTCGATGAATGAATAAATTTGTAGAAATCTTACAACCAAAAACTTTTAAATATATTCCTACATAATTATTTAAGTTTGATTTTCGACAAAAGATAGAATTAAAATACGCTTCATAGACAGAGAGAACTATATGCTATATGTATGATTGATCACATAATTACTAGAGTATAATATTCTTTTAATATAACTTTTTCATTCATTTTTATCGAGTTTTTCCTTGTATTTATCACTGTCACATAAGAGACAATTTTCTTTCTATAGAATAATCTTCCAATAAATAGAAAAATTGCTTATTCTGAGGAATTTCTTAAAAGAATTTTACTCGAAACATTCGAAATTATTTCATATACTCGCTATACTCGAGAGAGAAAGAGTAGTTCTTTTCTAATGATACTATGACTTCAACGCGATCGAAAAAGAGAGAGAGATCTCCTTTTATTCTTACGTTTTCTCATCTAGTTAACATTCCTGCTAATGCTAAATGGACACAGAATGGTGTGACTATTGCTGGAGGTCACGGACAAGGGGGTGCCACTAATCAACTCAACTGGCCTCATGGTCTCTTCGTTGATGATGATCAAACAGTGGTTATCGCTGACTACAATAATCATCGTATCATGCAATGGAAGAATGGTGATACAACGAATGGACAAGTTGTTGCTGGTGGTAATGGTGACGGAAATGGATTACATCAATTTGATCGTCCCACTGATGTCTTAATTGACAAAGAGACGGATAGTCTCATTATTTGTGATTTTGGGAATCAACGAGTTGTACGGTGGTCTCGTCGTAGTGGTACCACACAAGGTGAAATACTCATCGATAACATCGGTTGTGTGGGATTAGCATTGGATGAGCAGAGATATCTCTACGTCTCTAACTACGCAAAACATGAAGTAAGGCGATATAAATTCGGTGAGAAGAATGGCAATCTCGTAGCTGGTGGAAAAGGTAAAGGTGGTGGACTCAATCAACTCAACGACCCGGCATATCTCTTTGTCGATCGACAACAGAATGTTTACGTATCAGACGAACATAATGATCGTGTAATGAAATGGAATAAAGGTGCAAAAGAAGGTATTGCGGTCGCTGGACGACAAGGTCAAAGAAATGCTCTGACACGATTGTCTTATCCTAATGGACTCTTCGTTGATACGTTGGATAGACTCTATGTAGCAGACATGGCGAATAATCGTGTAATGCGTTGGACTCAAGGAGACAAGAAACAAGGCACTGTAATTGTGGGTGGAAATGGTGAAGGAGCAGGAGCAAATCAGTTCTTCTACCCCAAAGGTTTGTCTTTCGATCGCCATGGTAATCTCTATGTCGCCGATTTGAATAATCATCGTGTTCAGCGATTTTCTATCGAATAAGACCCGTGAATTATTTTTCTTTGTTCGTTTCTTTTCCTATACTTTGAAATAAATGAACAGAAAAAAGCAATTTTCTTTTACCCTTTCACTTCAACGAAAAGAAAAAAGCTAAATATAAAATTACATCACATGTTTCTATTCTTGTTCTTTTATTTATTTGTTAAATGAAAAGAAATGAATTAAATAAAATAATTTGTATTATTTAAACAAAAATAAAATTTGAATTATTTTGAAAAATTTTAGTAGTAAAATAATTATTTTTAGTAGTAAAATAATTATTATTAGTAGTAACATAAATATATTTATTGTTGAATTGAAAATATTTATTATTTGAATGAAAATAAATTTGTATTATTTGGAAAATTTGTTAGCGGAATGAAAATAAAATTTGTTTCATTTTCACAAAATATTTTAGTCCTGACATGAAAATTTGAGTTATTTAAATAAAATATTTGAGATTTAAATGAAATGAAAATTTGAATGCTTTTGAAAATATTTATTGATAAAATAAAATAATTTATAAGCGAAGTGAAAGGAAAATTTTTTTGTTTTCACAAAATATGTATTGCTGAAATGAAAAGAAAAAATTTGAGTTATTTGAATAAAGTTTATTTCAAAAATAGAAAAAAAAACAAGTTACAGAAAAATTAAACAACACGAATGTAAAAATATATATATACTTACATTTGTGCCCATTTGGATTGAATTGTTGAATGGAACTAAAACATAAAAATAACAATTTATTTTATTTTGTTTTTTCGAATAAGATAAGTGAAATTACTTTGCTGTTGAAGTAATCGAGATGAACTAAAACGAAATAAGCAGAATTGAATTAATTGGAATGAAAAATTTTGCTTACCAGCTAATTGTTGCTCGCGCGACCAAGAACTGCCTTGGTGGTGCCATAGAGAGGCAAGCCTCTTCACGCACAGACATAGAACTAGCGTGTATATCACATACCTCAGGAAGAACTATATAGCGGCCTGCACGTGCTATGGGCACCAAAGTAATCTTGGCACTCCCCCGGTAGGACATAGGACGTAGGACACCCATCACCAATATATAATATTATATAAAAAAATATACTTACATTTTACGTACAACTAAATTGGAGAAAAAAAGGATTAGCAGCTGAAACGAAAAAATTATTATTATTATTATATAAAATTAAAATATTAAACAATTGGGGTAAAAGGGTGAGGCAACGCAAAAAAAATGAAACTATACTTACCTGTGATGTTGATAATTGTATCGACGATTGCAAGCTAAAATAGTTAAAAAATAAAACATACATATTATAATATTATAAGGGAAGAAGAAGAAGAAGAAAGGGGGAATGCTAC